CGCCCGTCGGCGGCAAGAGGCCCTTGCTCGCCTGTGGAGTGGGCATCGACCACCCCCTCGTCAGGGGCCACTCCTGTCACAGCCACCGTGGCTGTCCCCGCGGCAGCAGCTGCCGCGCGAGGACCTGGCGAGCTCGATGCAGCGGAGGGGTCTCCACTGCAGCCCACCTGCGTGGCATCGGCCACCCCTCCGTCGACGGCGTGCGAGTGCTGGTCGCCCCCGAGGCAGGGATCGGCCACCCGCCCGTCGGCGGCTGCCAAGTGGCGTTCGACCCCTCCAACGGGAGTGGGCCCCCCACTGCACTCCACCCGCGCGGCGTCGACCGCCCCGGCCGTCGGGGGCACGCGAGTGAGGATCGCCCCCCCCCCCCCCCCCCCCGAGGCAGGCATTGGCCGCCCGCCTGTCGGCGGCTGCCTCGGGGGGCTCGGCCCCACTGCTCGTCTGCTCGCAGTTCCAGGTGAGCGGCAGCCCCGTCTTGGGGTGCCGCCCTTGCAGCAGCTTGCGCCGCCTGGCGTTCGGGTCGGAGACGTACGTCCTTGAGCAGTGGCCCGCCGCAGTCGGCGTTCCCATGCGGGTCTTGAGGGGCGCAGCGGACGGGCCATTGCCGGCCCGCGCCACGCAGACCTCGCAGAACACGGTAGGCCCAGCCCTGCGTGGGAGATGCTGGAGGTGATGCGCCACCCCGTCTCCAATGGCCCATGGCGCGGACGGCGGAGGCGCCAAGGATGGCCCGTCCTCCGATCCACCAGCAGCCGCCAGCTCGTGGATGGCCATCGCCCCCCTCGGGCGAGAGCCGCAGGGGGTCGGCGCCCAGCTGGCCATCGCTCGGACGTCCATTCCCTGTGCTTTTTGTCGGTTTCGCGCGTGGTTTTTTCCGCCAGATGATCAAGGATGCTCCTCGATGGTCCTCGCCGAAGGAAGCATGCACACGTCCGAGCGATGCCAAGCCAGGTGCTCGATGGTGGCCCCCGCCCGCAGCTTGGAGAAGTCGCTGGGCTCGCACGGCGACCTCGCGAGCTGGCTCCACGCGAGACGACGCCGCAGAGCCCTCGCCGCAGGCGCTGCGCGTGGCGATGCCGCAGCCCCGCAGCTGGATCAGCACGTGCTCGACGACGGCGACTGGGGCCGTGGCCCGATGGGGGCAGGCGTCGGCACGAGCCGCTGCGACGGCACCCCCTTCTCGAGCTTCGAGCGGTCGCTGCGTGACCCAGCCGACGGGGGGGGGGGGGCCCACCCGCACATGTGGCGCTGCAGCTCCACGCGGCGGAAGCCCACGCACACCTGCGAGACTGCGTGCAGCATGGCCCCCTGCTCCGCGAACCAGCCCGCCCGCGTGCCGCCAGCGAACGGCAGCGGGCGGAGGCCGCGGTCTACAGTCGGGGCGTTGACCTAAGGAACCCTAAATAGGGAACGAGGCCCCTTCTTTTCCATAAGTTGAACTTCGATTTCCCATCGAAGACATAAGGAAAACCTGAGGCAAACTGCGAAACACTTAAGGAACGCGGAGCCCCTCCGCAACCAAAAGGGTTCCTTCTTCAGGGCCCCGGTGCGCGCCTGGACGCCCCTGCGCGCAGGGATCCAGGCGACCTCCTGGCGCGATGCTCCTGCCGCCGCAGCTCGCGCCACGCCGTGGCGGGGGCGGCCTCTGGCCGGCTCGGGCTCGGGGCCCCGGGAGCGCGCCTGGGCCTCTGGGGCGCCAGCCGGTCGGTGGACACCACGGCGGTGGATGCTGCGAGCGCCGAGACCGTCTGCAGCCGCGCGCGGCGTTCGGCGTTCGGCCCACCGTCTGCAGCGTGCCGCGGGCACGGCGGGCCGCAGGCCGCGCGGCACTGGGCCGCCCTGGGGGCGCAGGGCGGTGGGCCGCGGCCCGCCCGCGGCGCCGCAGCGCGGGAGGGCAGAGGCTCGACAAGCAGGGTCGCACGCTCGTGCCGTGGGAGAGGAAGGGAGATGGGAGTGGGGAGTGGGGGATGAGGAATGGAGGCTGAACGGGATGAGGAGTGGAGAGTGTATGGGCGTGGGGGATCTCCTTGCAGCTGGAGGAGGGAAGGGCACTGGAGGAGTGAGGAGTGGAGGAGGAAAAGGGAGGAGGACTGCTACAAGAGGGGCGGAGGCGGAGGAGGAGGAGGCGGGGCGGAGGAGGCGGCGGACGAGGAGCTCGACGGCGGAAGAGAGGAGAGCAGGGTCGGGAGGAAGCGGGCGGGGAGGTGCGGCAAGGGCGGCGAGGAGCGGGGGGGCACCCTCGGTGCCCCCAGGAGGGCAGTGCCGCCCTGGGGGGGGGGGGCAAGAGACGGCGAGGAGAGGAGCGAGGAAAAGGGAGGAGGGGCGAGGAGCGAGGGGAGGAGAGGAGCGAGGAGGGGAGAGGAGCGAGGAGGAGGAAGGAGGAGGAAGGGAGAGGAGAGGGAGAGGCGAGGAGCGAGGAAGGAGGGAGGAGGGGGGAGCGAGCGCGGGATCAGGTCGGCACCATGACGGCAGAAGAGAAACGCGGACGGGGGGAGGGGGCGGGAAGGAGGCCGGCCGGCAGGGGAGGGGAGGGGAGAGCGGCCGGATCCGGAGCACAGGCTGGGCGCAGGGAGCCCGATCTGGCCGTCGCTGCTCGCTTGCAGCCCGCCTCCCCAGGAAAGGGAGCCGGGTCGACGACGGCACCCCCGGACCGCTCTCGGCACGGTGCAGCCGGCCAGGACGCTGTCAAGCGCTGCAAACAGCCGAAACGCCGCAAACAGCAAACTTGAGCACCGAAACGCTACAAACACCAATTTGAGCACGAAGCCGGGAGCTGGAGCCGCCCGGGGCCGACACGGGCCGCCGCTTTCACCTTTCGCGCGCGAGGAAGCCCAGCGCCAGGTGGGTGCCCCCTGGCCACAAGGCCAGGACAGCAGTCGTGAGCCCCCCCAGGAACTCCCAGGTGGGCACCTTTTATTGCTCGGCGTTTCGACATTGGGCGGAAAGGGGGGGCGGAGGGGGGTGTCTCGCTCTGGACCTCTGCTCGGCGTCACTGTTCTGCACCAGTGTGCCCATTGCGGGGGGAGACTGCACCTGCCCGAAGCAGGCGCTCGAAAACAGCCGAGATCCACTCCAGGGGGGGGAAGAAAGGGGGTTTTGGGGGCCCGCGCCGATCAGCAAAACAACGTATAAAAATAACGACCACCAGTTCTCGTGTCAGACGTTCTGCCCCGCTCGGTCTTTCGGGCCACCGCGCACCCTCTTGTTGAAGGCGACGTAGTTCAGCAAGGACTCGATGTGCATCCTCTCCTCCGAAGCGGAGGCCGTCCGTGCCGCTGGAGCCTCCGCGTTGTCGGCCGGAACCTCGCGCGGGGCTCGCGGGAACGAGCGCGAAGGGACAGAGAGGACGAGGACGTGGAAAGCGAGGGTCATGAGGCGGGCGAGCAAGACCGGGGTGAAGAGCAGAGGGGTTGCGAGAAGGACACGGGGGGCGAGAGAGAGAGAGAGAGATAGAGAGAGAGAGAGAGAGCGAGAGATATAGAGAGCGAGAGAGAGAGGGAGAGACAAACTACAATAACGAAAGAGAAAGCGAGGCAGAGAGAGAGAGAGAGAGAGAGAGAGAGCGAGAAAGATACAGAGAGAGAGAGAGAGAGAACGGGCGAGCGAACGACACACACACACACACACACCGAGAGAGAGAGAGAGAGAGAAACAGAGAGCTAAACAGAGAGAGAGAGAGAAACAACAAAAACAATCAAACAACATTTGACAAAGAGAGAACGAGCGCGCGAGAAAGACAGAGGGAAGAAAAGAGAGAGAGAGAGAGACAAAGAAAGAGACAGAACGAGAGAGAGAGAGAGAGAGAGCTGCTAAAGACACATGGCCCCGCGCTCCCAGAGTCACGATCTCTCGTGCAAAACAGTGGGTCCGCGCCCCGAGCTTCCACGACGGCCAAGGCCAGCAGCCAAGGCTGCCAAGATGGCCCGAGATGCCTCGAAGACGGCCCAGGACGGCCCCACGGTGGCCGAAGATGGCCTCCCGACGGCCTCAGATGCCCCCAAGAGGTCCCAAGAAGGCCTCCTCCTGGTCCTCCTCCTTCCCCTCCTCCTCCTCCTCTCCTCCTCCTCCCTCCTCCTCCTCCTCCTCCTCCTCCCTCCTCCTTCTCCTCCCTCCTCCTCCCTCTCCTCCTCCTCCCTTCTCCCTCCTCTCCTCCTCCTCCCTCCTCCCTCCCTCCCCTTCCTCCTCCCTCTCTCCCTCCTCCTCCTCCTCCTCCCCTCCTCCCTCCTTCTCCCTCCCTCCTCCTCCTCCTCCTCCTCCCTCCTCCTCCCTCCTCCTCCCTCCCAGGGCCTCCATCTTCCGTACTATCCGTGTGGCCGGTGTGGAAGGTTGTCATTTTTCTGCTGAATTAACAAAGATAATCGAGGTTTCCATGAATTAACAAAGATAATCGAGGTTCCCATTAATCTGCGAACTTCAAAGGAAGAAACCTTCAATCGGTAAATTCACAACACGCACCTTGACCCGAAAGCAAATGTTCAAAGTTCAAAGAACTGGGTGGGGCAACGCCACCCAAACTCGATCGAACACCTGAGCCTAGCACCGACTAACAACCTAACATAACGCAACCAGCGGCACGAACACCCTAGCCTAACACCCACCAACATCCAACAACGCCCAACAAAACCCAGCTGTCCAAACACCCTAGCCCAACACCTAACGAAATTTAACACCCAACAACATCCAACAACGCCCAACAACACCCAGCTTCCCGAGCACTCCGCCTCAACAACCAACAACACCCTGACGTCCAATAACTTGACACCCAACCTAACACCTAACCTAACACCCACCATCAACACCTAACCTAACACCTAACCTAACAATCAACAACACCCAACAACACCCTCACTGACATCCAACAACCTTACAACAACGGTGCAGGGGGGGTGCAAGCCTGGATTGCATGACGACGGCGACGGGAAACTAGCAGAAGAGGCCGGATCAGATGAGACAAGGCAACAAGGATACGCGCACGCCATTTCTTTACAATTGTAGCTCTATCCGCCTGGAATTGAACGCGGGCGGTGGAGCTTTGCTTCGAAGCGGCACCGTACGTGGACGGCGCCGCGCTACTAGAGCGGCGCCTCTAATTTAGGACGGGATTTCGGCGCCGTGATCGAAAAGGGGGCATGCGAGATCTAAGTATGATGCTGCACGAGGGTGGGGCATATAATCTACGGGGCTGGGGCGGGCAGGGACAGGGGCAGTACGTAGAGGCGCAGGAGGTGCAATCCCAGCGCCGAGATCCCCTCCCAACGAAACTCTTCACGCCTGATACGTTCCACCTAAGCATCTCGAGAGAGTTCCGCCTCCTCCTGGGGGCGCCGCAGGCCGCCCCTCCCTCGCACTCCCTCCCCTGCCCCCCCTCCCTCCCCCAGTTTTCCTGGCCTCTCTAAATTCCCCCGAACCAAAAACACAACCTCCTCTCACGATCGACGGCCCTGAAACAAACGCCCTGGCTCGTGCGTCTGACGAGCTCGGACTCTCTTGGTTCGAGCTGGCCTGCAACTCCAAATCCTCCTCGGCTTCCTCGTCCTTCGCTCCTCCTCGCCCTCCTCCTCATCGGACTCTCTGCCCTCAGCTGAGGGCTGCTGCTGTTCGGCACTGGGCTCGCGTCTGCGGGCGCGCCGTCGCCTGCATCGCTTGCGCTTATATGGGTCGAAGGTTGGGGGGGGGCTTCGAGCGCTTCTTGCGTCGCATCATGGCTGCAGAACTTCGCTGGTTCACTCTGTTTCGCTAGGCTCCCAGGTCCCAGGTTCCTCCTATTCTTCATGCTCCTCCTCTTTAACTATCCTTCTCCTCTTCCTCCGCCCCCCCTCCCCCTCCCCCTTCTATATACCTCCTCCTGCCGTTGCTTTCCCTTTCCCCGCGGGGGCGCGAGCTCTGCGCATTGAGTAGGATAGCTATTGGGGGACCCAAGGACCTGTTTCTCACTGCGCGCGCTTCGCGCCCACAGAGGGCGAGCATTTCTTTGTTCGCGCGCGGGTTCTCCTCCAGGGGGCAAAAAACACGTTGCTGATTTTTTCATGGGGGGCACGCCGGAACGCAGACGGATTGATTTCGGGGAGGCGGCCCTGACTGTAGCTTTGGCGGGAAGTGCTTGCGCCGACCGATGTCGGACCGCAGGGGCGGGGGGGGCCTAGGCGGGGGCGGGGGAGGCCGGTCGGGCCGCGGCCGCGATCAGTTTTGAGTCGAGCAACCCGTCGAGCAAACGATTGTCAGAACATCTAGGCCAACGTAGGTGTCAACGCATGCACGTACTTCCAGACTGCTGTCTCACCAGCCTAGCCTTACGTCCTTAATGTTGAGCCTTGAATGCTCAAAGCGTTCGGAATTAATCGGGCCAGCTCCCATGGTGTTCGTCGCGGTTCCCCCGGGCATCATCCAATTGTTTCACGTGCTTATTCGGGGCCCAGATAGCCCAGAGCGGCAGCCAAGACGGCCCTAGAGGCCCCCCAGGTCACCGACAAAACGCCCCGAGACACCAAATATAAGCCAGAAGCGACCCAGGAAGTCTCCAAGACGGCCCAGGAGATGTCCTTTAGACCGCTGAAGTTGCTTGGCCTTCTCACCGCTAGATTTCCTGTGGACCGCTGGTTCCTCTAGACCGCTGAAGGTTTTCGGCCCCCTCACTGTTTTAAGCTCCTCGAAGACGGCTCAACATGTGCAGAGGCCCCTTAAGATCACTCCGCGATATGTCGTAAACAAGGCCCCCGAACGGCCCAGGTTTGTTTGGCGACGGTCCAAGAAGTGCCCAAAACGGTTCCCACGTTGGCTCCGACGTTGGCTCCCAGACGGCCCAAGTTGGCTCCCCGATGCAGGGGCGTTAAGAACCCTCTCCACGCACGCAAAAAGCAAATGCCCCAAGAGGTCCCCAACAATAGCCCCAACGAAAGCATTCAGAGTCTGTAGCTCGGCCTCCTACAAGTTCCAAGTTGGCCTCGAATAGAGACCCTGAGAGACGCGCCGCGAGATCTCAACTGACACCCAAGAGTTATCTGACCCACCTCCCCGGCACGGTGGCGGGATTGAAAGACGAGTTGTTCAATGCTGGGAGGGAGCTAGGGGGGGGGGGGCCCTCGATCCAAAGGCTCGCTTGGTCCGCCTCGAAGTTCGAAGACCTCGCGTTCAAGCCACGATGGTGTCTGGGTTCTATGTTCGCGAACACGTGTGTGCACGTCCAAATAGTTTCCGAATCCTCATGTGCCACGGCGCACGCCTTCTAAGGGTTACACGTGAAGAGCGTGGACGCCATGCTGCATGCAATGCATTGCGCTGCACTGCAATGTACTGCGTTGCTTGTTGCGAGACCCTCTCGGTCCACGCATGTCGGGGCGTGCCTACGGGGATATATGTATATCGGTGGCGGTTGCCAATCGGATCGCCTTGCACACTCAGCTTATCAAGAACGGCGGCACCTGTGCCACGACGCGCAATAAATCGCCGCGCACGGGCCCGGCCTATCAACATAACATACTTCAACTAGTACCTGGCGCGCGAGCGCGGGCGGCGCTGGACGATTACGACGACAGCGACGGCGATGACAATGAACCGACGGCGACGATGATTGCGACGATTGCGACGACGACGGCGGCTACGCAGGTTTCGAGCACCTTGGATGACCCAAGGATGTCCAGGAATAACCACGAACTGCTGGAACCAAAAAAACCCACGGGAAATCGCAAAACAAATCCGTGACGACGCGCATTAGCTATTCGACAATCGACGACGACGCCAACGGTTGGCCGCGACGATGTTGAGCAGGGGCGACGCCGATGACACACGAACGACGACGATGCGGGTGGCTGAGCGGCGCGAGCCAGCACGCTAAAGGTCTGAGCGCGTTGACCCTCCCTCCCTGTCAATCCCAAAGAGGGCCACCGAGGGCCTTGGATTTCGACCCAGGACCAGAAAAACATGACCAGGACCAGAAAACAGGACAAGGTAGGACCGACTCCTGCGCAGATGCCACACCAGCGCCTCCGGCGCCAAGGAGCCGCTTGCCGCCCCGCCGCCCGCGCGTCATCTGTCTCGGTTCCCTATGCCATTCCATCCTGCATCTGGCGCTCGCGCCCTTCATGCCCTCCAACCTGATCCCCCCGATTCCCTCCCCCCGATGCATCTCCTGTTCCCAAGGTTGCCGCGGGGATTGCTTCCGCTTGATGTTGCGAATGCATGTGCTGTTGCTGTGTCTATTCCTCCATCTGTCCCTCTATATCTTTCTCTTGCCTTCTGTCGCTCAATCTTCTGGTTCTCCGTGCGCGTGTCTCTGTCATTGGTTCACTCTATCACCCGCCTTCTTTGCTTGTCAACGTGCGTGCAATTGCTTTCTCTGTTCCTATGTTGATCGCGGCTTGCTGCTTCGCTCGCCGTCGCGTCTAAGCCACATGTTTGCAAGGCCCGCGTTCGCACGACCCCCGCCCGTCGGGCGCTACGCATTGCGGCCGGCGTCTACCGGGACCTATAAATGCACGTGGGTTGCTCCGTTCGGAACTCGCGCTCGCCCTGTCTATATGTGTGCGTGTGTTTTTTTGTTTCAGCCTGACGCTTGCACGTTGCGATTTTTTCATGTATCTATGTCTTTGTTCCTCTCTATCTCTCTCTCTCTCGCCATTGCTTCTCATTCTTCTCATTTGACTCATCCCATATCAGTTTTTCTCTTTAACCACGCCCCAAATGAGTTATCATCACTTGGCCTGCGCAAGTCGCGCGCAACAAATGCACTTACAACACATGCAACAACTACGAAGCATCTTGCGCCTCCTGCGGCGCCTCGCCCAAAAGGAACTCGACCGTCCATTTCGTAAGGAAATTCTTCGACATCTCTGGGCGGAACAAGCTTGCGGATCTTTTCCTGGTCGATGCGTTTTCACTTTCGTCCCTGAAATTGTGAGAGTATAGCGGGTTCCCGTGAGAGCGACACTGCTCCACGAAATGTTTCCCCCATGCGTGCCATTTCATTTGAAAAGGAAGTCCGAGCGAACCCCAGGCGTCGATGGCTGCATCAATAGTGGCTTCTAGGTTCAACACCCCAGACTCTGACATGTTCCGAGGTTCTCGCTTGAGTATCTCGAAATACATTGCGATACATTTAGACACCTCCAGCAACTTCGATCCCTCACATCCCATGGGGCACTTGTTGTCCAACTCGACTGCGCCGCCATTGTTTTCTAATGCGTGAATGATAAATGGAAGAAACCTCCTGGACTTCGCCGCTTTGAGCTTCAAGAATGGCGAATTGTCCTCCCCGAGCATAAGAACGGTCACAGTTTGTATCCTCATGTCGTCTGGCGTGCCGCTTGATGTGTAGAATGTTTTGAGGGCTTCCGACATGTTAGCATTTGCTTCGGTGTGCTCCCCATCAGTAAAGTATCCAAAATAGCCTACATCCAAGAGCATCCGCAGCACCCTGCCATGAACATAACCACAAATTCCCAACTCCATTACGTGCATGCTATCGTAGATGAAATGGCTGATCTTCAACCCAGGTATCCCGCTCGAGACCCCCGGCACTGTGAACAACCGAGAGATGTTAAGCAACCCGTTCTTCGGCCGACGATACACTAAGAAACGCCGCTTTTCTGCAGGATATGATGCAACTGATTCGCCGTGCCAGAAATCTGGAAATCCTTCTGGCGCTGGTTCAATCCTATCTCCTATCTTCAAGTTTGGCCACTTGTCGACCCTCCTGCATTTGACCACAACCCCACCTCTCTTATGCCTTTGATGTGTGATTGCTCGCAAGGCCTCGACGTCATCGTCCGACAACATTTCGTGGAAAGTGAGGCTGGCCGAGGCAGAAGTCATCATCCACGCATGGCTCCTGCGTCTTGCGCATACAGAGAAATCGTCGAGCATGCTCTTCTCGTGAAAGCATTTGATGCAACCGAATCTTGCCCTGTAGTCTGGCATGCATAACGTTTTGGCCATTTCGTCGAGGTCCCCTGCAACCTCGCACACGACCAATCTGCAGATCCTGCTGGGATCGTTCGGGTCTGGAAACAGAGGCTTGCCAGCCATTCTCGCCCGGATCGTATCCGGCTGGAACTCCTCACCGTTCTTGCCTGTCGCGGGCCAGTACCCTGGCGAGGGCGTTCCCCTCTTTATCACTGGGAGGCGGCCCCCTTTACAAATGCATGTCTAGCGTTCGCCGCCCAACCGCCATCCACTATTCATTCATCATCCACCATTCATTCGTCATTCTTCATTCATCAACGTTGCCTTTGCTTGTTCTGATTCTTAGGCTTCTGAGGCCGAAACGCCCCCCCCCCCCCCAGGTACTCCAGGGCCCATATATTGCAGCGAGAGGTTTCGA